GAATTTCAGAAGCACACACAAGAATTATGAAGATCAACAAGGACAAGACAACCTAATCCAAGGTATGCTAATATTGCCTTTGTGGATGAATCTATACCTATTGAGCCTTCTACTTATGAAGAATTGGTACAAAGCCGAGAGTGGCAGAAAGCTATGGAAGAAGAAATTAAGGCAGTAAAAGAAAAGCAGACATGGGATTTAGTTCCTAAGCCAAAAGATGTGAAGTTAATATCCTGTAAATGGGTTTGCAAGGTGAAGACTCGACCAGATGGCTTCATTGAAAGGTATAATGCTCGACTTGTTGCTAGAGGTTTCTATCAACAATATGGGCTAGATTATGAAGAAACATTTAGCCCCGTGGTAAAGATCACAACAATTCAAATCTTACTAGCTTTGACTGTTAGTAAGTCTTGGAATTTGTGGCAAATGGATGCCAAGAATGTTTTCCTACATGGAGAACTTGACAAAGACATATATATGGAGCAACCAAGAGGCTTTTAGAACAAAATCCATCCCGAGTATGTCTACAAGTCAAATAAGGCATTTTATAGCTTGAAACAAGCTCCCAAGAGCATGTCACGAGAAGATTGGTGAGTTCTTGATATAAAGTTATTTTACGGTTGCTTCTTTAGATTCCAGTTTATTTGTGAAAGAATATCAAGGAAAACTAGCCATAATGCTAGTATATGTGGATAACTTAATCATCACAGGAGATCATTACGATTAGATAAAAAAACAAGGGAAAATCTTTCTTCCAGATTTCATATGAAGTATCTTGGAGAACTCAAACATTTTCTTGGACTTGAAGTGGAGCAGAAAAGGGAAGAATTATTTCTGAGACAACAGAAGTATACACGACATCTTTTACAAAAGTATGGGATGTTTAATTGCAAACCTATCTCAAGTTATATGGATTCTAATATAAAACTACGAGCAGATGAAGAAAATGGTTTAGAAGATGTTACCATATATTTACAGTTGGTCGGAACTCTTATTTATCACACACTAAGTCGACCAGACATAACTTATACAGTTGGAGTAGCTAGTCGAAACATGAGCAATCCAAAGAAGCCTCACCTTGACGCAGTACGACGTATCTTGAGGTATTTTAAAGGCACCATTAATTTTGGCATTTTATACAAGAAAACAAAGGAATGTCAGGTGACTGGATATTGTGACGCCAATTATGCTGGAGACTATGATGAGCGACGATCGAAAAATGTGTACATGTTCAGTCTTGGATCGGGAGTAATATCATGGTGTAGCAAGAGACAACCGAAAATATCCTTATTAAGCACCAAAGTAGAATATCGATCACCAGCATCAACAACACAATAAAGTACTTGGTTGAAGCACTTGGAATGATCTGTAAATCATCTATGAAAGGAAGTTTGCATTGAGGGGGTGTTAGAAGACAATGCAAATCCTAAAGAATTATGTGTCATTTAGTGTGTGTATATATATTAGGAATATTCTAGAATAATATGAAAATGGTAGATGTGTAGAAATATCCATGAAAAATCTAGATATTTGTATTATTTAATATTATATCTAGAATTATATATTAGAAGAATCTATATATTTTTAATGTTAAATGGCTAAGATGTTGACATGTGTTAAGAATCTAATGGCCACTAGAAACTATAAATAAGGATGAGTTTTTACCATTGTAGTAAGAGTGAAACAGTGAGAAAAGGGTGCCAAAAGTGTGAGCTACAGTAAAAGAGTTTTAGAGATAGAAAAGAGTAAAGTAATAGGGTAATTGGGTAATATCGTAATTGTATTTTGTATAAATAAAAGTTTTTTATTCTCTTAAGTTTCCCGGTTAAGCCTTAATTGTTTCTAAGTTCTTAATGCACTTGTGTTAGTTCTATTATATGGTCAGCTATGTTGCCTCATTGATATATGGTCAGTTATACCGCCTGAATGATATATGGTCGACCTTGCCGCCTAAGTACTATTGTACACTAAGAATTTAAAAGATAAAAGACTAACCAACATCAAAACTGTTGGTGTAGTGTGAGTAGCATATTCTAAGTCCTTAATAATAAGTGTGCTGGGCTCGTCAAAGTTTCTAACATAATTTAACTATTCTAACATAATTTAACTATTCTGTGTAAATCTTATTTGAATATATTGATTTTTCAATATAATGATTATAGTGTTTTTTTTATAATGGCATGGTTGCTCATTTAAATCTTTACTTTGTTTACAAGACTTGTGAGTCTTCATCTATCTATATATATAGAGAGAGAAAATACAATATTTTGAAGAGGAAGGAAAGAAATTTTATAGTTAAAATACAAAAAGAAATATAACTGAAAACAAAATCATTTCCCTGTGGAACATGATTGGACTAGGGGTGTAAACGAGCCGAGCCGAGCTCGAGTATTGTTGAGCTCGAGTCGACTCGAAAACTCTAAAATTGAGCTCGATTCGACTCGAAAACTCGCGAGCTTAAAATTTTCAAGCTCGACTCGAACTCGAAATCCTAAACGAAAGCTCGTGAGCAGCTCGAAAAGGCTCGAAATGAAAAAAAATCTTAAACTTAACTCGATTGAAGCCTTAAATTCAAACTCGAACATGAACCTCAAATACATAAAAATCTTAATGTATTTAAAAAAAATCAATACATAAATATTAATATTATTAATAGTTTATTTTTTAAAAAATAAAATCCAAATATATATTATATTTTCGAGCTGCTCACGAGCTTTTCGAGTCGAATATCGAGTAGCTCTTTTCGGCTCGTTAAGGACTTGAGTCAATCTCGAGCTCGAGTCCATTTGATCCGAGTATTTATCGAGCCTTAATCGAGTCGATCTCGAGTAGCTCGCGATCTGTCTCGTCTCATTTACAACCCTAGATTAGACATCTTTGATTTTCCCACTCGCCATAGGTAGGGTTTTTTTTTATTTAAAAATATTATATTGAATTAGATAAATTATTGATGAAATTCACAAATTGCATTAATTAAATTAAGAAATAAGATTGTAAGCATTGAGTGGACATCTTTGTCTTATAAAAAACCTTTGTATCGAAACATTAAATAAATGATTGTGTTTCAAGCTTTCAAACTTTTTTAAAGAACAATTGTTTTTTCTTAAATTATTTGTATCTAATTAAAATATCAAATCAAAATAATTGAATTAATTAAATTCTTTGATTAATTTTAATTTTTATAAAAATAATTAAATATTATTTTTTACATGACACACCACAATTTTGTAATATGAAATTTATTAATTAATTTTAAAAAATATCACTTGAAGTATAATCATGCAGTTGAATGTAAAAAAATCAGAGTTTAATTAATTTTTTTCAAAAGTTAGTGAGAATCTGACACTCTCTTAAATAAACTATGTGACTTAGGTATGTGATTTACCGATGAAATATCATTTTAGTCCTACTCGATACCAAGTCTCGAATTCAATCCAGAACAATTCATCCATCTTCCCTTATATATAATAATAAGAATAAGAATAAAATTGTTATTAAAATTGTTCAAAAATCTTCACATATTATGATTCCACTTTACTATAATTATTATGTACTTTAATTAAACATTTGTCTCTTATTTTATTCATGATGAATGAACAATAATAAATACTTTTTTAATGAAAATATTTCAATTATCAAAATTGGTTGGTGTATTTAATATTTTTAATTTCCAATCAAATTAACTTATATTTTTCATATATTATGATTAAATACTATTATTTTTATCAGATCAATTATTGATATTAATATAGCTACAAGAAGTAGTAAGAAGGGAATCTTTTTAATTTGTCAAAAAGGACACTAAATTAAGAACTTATTAAAAGTGATTATTTGAATTAAGCACTTTCGTATAAAGTTCTTCTCTTCTCTCTAATTAACCCCAAGATATGGTTAATATTTACTTTATTTATTCTTATTCCTTTTGAAATTTGGTTTGTTTTATTATTTTTCATATAATATTTTATTAATAATATTTTATTTACACGGTATTTTATCCACGCAAATCTATCTAAAATCCACTAATTGATTGAAGAGCTATGAATCAAAGAGATGTCAGACAAATCAAAAGAAATATATTCTCAACATCTTGTTTCACAATATATATATATATATATATATATATTATGAAATTCCAATAGAATAAAAATAACAAATAAATCTAGTCGTTGTCGCAAAAAATCTATGATTTATTGATTAAAAATTGATGTTCTTCGATAAAAATAGAATAAAGTTATTGTTGAATCAAATAACCCTAACTTAACTATACGCCTTTAGACAAAACTCATGTTCATTAAGAATAATTTATTATCGAATCTGATTGAATTTAATCAATTTTATATAACTAAAAACGTCAGTTTTATTTCATTCTCATGTTTTTTATGTTTCTATAATCAAATTACTGATTGGATGGTAAAATAAACTCAATTTTCTTCGTCAGGCAAATTAGATATTGTTCATTTTTTAGATTTATTCAAAACTTTTTTAAATTTATAACAATCGTTGCAATTCTGTCTCTTATTTAATTAATGAAAGTTTATTTATAAAAAACAAATAAATTTAGATATTCTCATGTGTCATGAAATAAATAAATAAATAATAAATTATAAAAAAAAATTAAACTTAAAAATTGAATACTTAATTAATACATAAGTTTCTATATTTATCCAAAAGATTTTCTAACATCAAACTTTTTCTTACCGTTATAGATTTGTTCCCACAAGATAGTAGGAATCTACAGCAGTAAAAGCACCACTATACAGTTAACATATCCAATCATATACATCCACGTCATAATCCACCCAAATGAATTATATTTTATTAAAATTATACATTTTGTCGCTTTCATTGATTTTTGTTTATATTTTTAAATTCGAGAGCCGCACTTGATATCATACTTTCGTTTTTCACCGTTCGATCTTTTCTTCAAATTATTCCTCACCGTCCATTTCTACTCTTAGCTTCAATCTACTAGAAAAATGCTTTCCCAGCCTTGTTTTCTTCAGTTTTCTGTGTGCGATCTCTCTTCTTCCTCCTCATCCATGACTTGTCATCCCGGTACATACCCGACCCGGTTCGTTTCATCCCTGGACCGATTCCGTTCAGTTTCGGATCCCACCGTAGTTTGTTTCCTCCTGCTTCGTTGAATATAAAAGAAGCTTTCAAGTAAACCGTTTTCTTGTTTTATTATAGATCGGTTTTTTATTCTCGTTCCTCGTTCCGGTTTTCTTTAATCCGTTTTGATTATTTGGATGGAGGAAAATGATAACAAGCTGCACAGAACGGCTTCGTTCAATTCCGCTATGTCCGACGTGGTATTGGAATGCGTTCTGCCGTACGTGCACGACCCGAGGGACCGCGCTGCCATTTCCCTCGTCTGCCGGAGGTGGTACGAGCTCGACGCGTCGTCTCGTAAGCACATAACCATCGCGTTTTGTTACACGACGACGACCGATCGGTTGCGGCTGCGTTTCCCGGTGCTGGAATCGTTGAAACTGAAAGGGAAGCCTCGGGCGGCGATGTTCAATTTGATACCCGATGATTGGGGAGGTTATGTAACGCCGTGGGTGAATGAGATTGCGGGGAACTTCAATTGCTTGAAATCTCTTCATTTTAGGAGGATGATCGTTAGGGATACGGATCTCGAAGTTTTGGCTCGGTCTAGAGGGAGAGTTTTGCAGTCTTTGAAGCTTGATCGATGCTCTGGGTTTTCAACTGATGGACTCTTCCATATTGGAAGCATGTGCAGGTAATTTTATAATTTTTAAGAAATTCTGCTGCCTAATTTTGCTTGCTATGAGATTGATGGTGTTAACTTTGCTTATTAAACGCTATTAAATTCATTCTCTAATTCAATAAATTTCTAGATTTAATCTATATACTTAGTTAATATGGTTAGATTTTAAGCCAGAATTTGCTAACTATAAGATATGCATAATGATTTATTTCTAAATTCGATTCGTCTCGTCTCGAGCTTAAACTGTTCTGTTCTCGCATCAACAGTGGAAATTTTCTTCTTCTCTTTCTTATTTTTAGATGTTTCAAGTTGATTAGAGAATGTCATGGATATTTGTGAGATACTGAGCTACAAGGTAGTTTGGATATAAAGGGTTAGCTAGTTGTGCTTTTGGTGTAATATTATTAAATCTTAGATTCCTTGTTTATGACTTTAGGTCTTGATATGTTTCTGCAGGCAGCTAAGAACATTGTTTTTAGAAGAGAGTTCGATTATAGAGAGAGATGGCCGATGGCTTCATGAGATTGCGATGAACAACTCCGTTCTCGAGACTTTAAACTTTTACATGACTGATCTCGTCCAAGTGAGTTTCGAAGACCTTGAACTGATTGCCAGGAATTGTCGCAACTTGACCTCCATGAAAATCAGCGATTGCGAAATTCTGGATCTTGTCGGCTTCTTTCGTGCTGCTTCTGTTTTAGAAGAGTTCTGCGGTGGTTCTTTCAATATCGAGCAATCGGACAGGTATAATGCTGTAACATTTCCACGGAGGTTATGCCGTTTGGGTTTATCATACATGGGGAGTCATGAAATGCCAATTGTGTTTCCTTTTGCATCGTTGCTCAAGAAGTTGGATCTCCTCTATGCCTTGCTTGACACGGAAGATCACTGCTCGTTAATTCAACGATGCCCCAACTTAGAAGTTCTTGAGGTAATGCTGTCTATTAGTTTCTGTGTTCCGAGTAACATTGTTTTTAATGATCTTTTTCATTATGCTGTAGCAGTTTTTGATATTTTTGGAAAATTTGAGATTCCGACAAGTGTTCGAGAAACGACATGTTGTTAGTTTTTGTTCTAAATATCCAATCATGTCTTATTAAATGTATTTGCTTGATGAACAGACAAGGAATGTTATTGGAGACAGAGGATTAGAAATTCTTGCTCAGAGTTGTAAGAAACTAAAGCATCTTAGAATCGAGCGAGGAGCCGATGAGCAGGGAATGGGAGACGAAGAAGGTGCGGTTTCGCATAGAGGATTAATGGCTTTAGCTCAGGGATGCCTTGAATTGGAATATATAGCCGTTTATGTATCCGATGTCACGAATGCATCATTGGAATCCATCGGGACGTACTCCAAAAACCTCTGTAATTTTCGTCTGGTGTTGCTTGACCGAGAAGAAAGGATAACAGATTTGCCTCTTGACAATGGAGTCCGTGCTTTACTGAGAGGCTGTGAAAAGCTAAGAAGATTTGCGCTGTATCTCCGACCTGGTGGTTTGACTGATGTAGGCCTCGGTTATATTGGTCGATATAGTCCGAACGTGAGATGGATGCTTCTGGGATATGTCGGGGGGTCCGATACTGGACTTTTGGAGTTCTCAAAAGGATGTCCTAGCTTGCAGAAACTTGAGATGAGGGGATGCTGCTTCAGCGAGCTAGCATTGGCACACGCTGCGTTGCGATTACCGTCTTTGAGGTACTTATGGGTGCAAGGATATAAAGCATCATCACAATCAGGTCGCGATCTGTTAGCCATGGCTCGTCCGCTCTGGAATATTGAGCTAATTCACGCAAGACGAGTCGTTACGACTAATCAAGTCGGAGAAACAATTGTGCTCGAACATCCAGCTCATATACTCGCCTACTACTCTCTAGCCGGACCGAGAAGAGATTTTCCAGATACTGTCATTCCTTTGGATCCGGTGCTGTAAATATAACCCCCTTTTTCGACGTTTCGATATTTCCAATCCACGTTCTGTTTATACGGTTTAGAGGGTTTCGGTTTGATATTTTTCGTGGACGATTTCATTTCTTGACTTTGGGTTGTAATAAAGATTGTGTTTTGGTCTGTAATTTTGAAAGGCATTTGCAGTCTTACATTGCTTGGTGGGCTACCATAGAAGAGTAGCTTAGGTATTAAGCCTTTGTACTGATAAATTTCATATTGATTCTGCAGATTGAATCTTTAGCTGAAAACTTTTGGTAGTGGCAGACACTTGAAATGTTCGATTTTAATTTATTTTTGTTGTGAAATGGGAAATTTCATTACTAGTTCCGCTTGATCGGTTAATTCGGTTACTTTCCCCCCTTATTTGATGAGAAAAGTTGTCCGAAGTTAAACTTGTGATTTAATTCCAATCATGACTAGAGTGATGTCTCTAGTTCATACTTGGTTTGTTAGTTCGGTTGTTTTTTAATTAAACCAACTTAATCTTAAAATATTAAACCAATCGTTTTTCTTTATCAAAATCAACGTAATTGATCCGATATCACTTTAATGGATTAGTTCAATTAACCGAGTTATGGGTAGGGAAAAAGTAATTTAATGGATAAATTTGAACTTGATTAAATCAAAATCGATTAAATAATTTTAAATAATTATTAGAACTGTAGAGTTGAAAAACAGAAAAATTTATTTATTTTTACTTAAATTGATTTTGAGTTGTAATTTCATAAACTCGACTCGACTCGAAGAAAATTCAAATTCAAATCGAGTTGTAAAATATAACTCGAATAATTCGAAATTTTTAGTAATTAGTGGATTTATTTTTAAGTTTAAGTCGAGTCATTCGATTTGTATGATATATTTATCACATATAAAAAATATGAAGAAATATATTTATATTGTATATATGGTTATAAAAAGTCTTTTAAATTGGAATCAAATAATATTGTAATATTATAGATGTTTACGATTAAATTTAAACAAAAACTTAAAAAATCAGTTCAACTCCACTCGAATTTTATAAACTCAACTCAATTAGAAAAAATTTCAAATCAACTTCAAATTATAAAATATAACTCGTCAATTGAAATAACTTAAAATATTTTGAGACTAAATCAAGTTCACCATAGTTTTAATCCAAAAGTCGTGAGTGGAGGAACGCTGTCTACTGCTGCATCAGCTCTGTTGTCCTTACAAGAGCCACATGCAACAATATCATGGCACCCTTTTTAAGGGTTTGTATAAGGAAAGGTAGATTAATATACGGTTAATATATTATGTTATCAGATATATTAAAAGATATTTAATAAATTCGGTTTATTGCTACTTATTATGTTGACAGACTAATAATATTTTAGGTAGAAAACATAAATAACTATTAAAAAAATTGATAACCGGTAAACTTTGGTTATCGGTAAGTATCGATACATATATATAAGTGTCCGTACTTATTTTATTGTGAAAAAAATTAATTTAAGGTTATCTTTTGAGTGAGTTTTAAGATATTAATTTAGTAATTATACGTGTCTAATGATTTATTTTTATGTTACGGTATATATTATTATTAAATTAAAAATAATAAACATAGATATTACATATTTATTATTATTTTTGGTTAAAATTGTTAAATTTGAATTCTAAATAATATTTTATAAAATATCTAAACAATCAAATAATTTTTTGTGTAAATAAAATTATTAAATTAATATTGTAGGTAGAAAACATGAAGCAGTATTAAAAATTTTTGAAACATAAATTACAGAACTTTCAACAAAGTATCGATACATGTACAAAAAATATCTATACTTTCAACATATCAGGTAGTTCTTTATCGGTTTTGTCATAATGAAACTGGTTTTGTCATATTTTTACATGTTATATTGTAAAGTATCAATACATTTTTATATCTATACTTTCAACATATCAGGTAGTTCTTTACCGGTTTTGTCATAATGAAACTGGTTTTGTCATATTTTTTACATGTTATATTGTAAAGTATCGATACATTTTTATAAAAAGTATCGATACTTTCAACATATCAGGTAGCTATTTACCGGTTTTGTCATAATGAAAATGATTTTGTCATATTTTTACCTGTTATATTGTAAAGTATTAATACATTTTTATAAAGTGTCGATACTTTCAACATATCAGGTAGTTCTTTACCGGTTTTGTCATAATGAAACTGGTTTTGTCATATTTTTACCTGTTATATTGTAAAGTATCGATACATTTTTATAAAATATCGATACTTTATAAGCGCTATTATTGTTTTTCTTTTAAATTCTAAAAGTGTCGACACTTATTTAAATGGAATCGATACTTTCAACATATCCGGTAGGTAGTTTAATGTAATAGGTAGTGCATATTTTTTTTATTGTTTACATTATTAGCAACCTTAAAAAAACCGGTAGATATTTTAATGTAATAGGTAGCACCATTTCTTTTACCGTTTACATTAATAGCAACTTTCAAAAAAACTGGTAAGTATTTTAATGTAATAGGCAGCGTCTATTTTTTTTACCGTTTACATTATTAACAATTTTAAAAAAAACCGGTATGTATTTTAATGTAATAAGTAGTTTAAATTTTGTTAACATTTATCCCTAAGGTAAGTTTATTATAACTGATAACAAATTAAGTAAGTAATTACCTATTTTGTTACATAAGCACTACCTAATATGTTATTATGCTTTATAATGTTTCGAGTAATTAACCGGTTATGTTATCCTTGATAACATTTTAAGTGTTTACCTAATATGTTGTAATAACAAATTAAATAATTAACCTATTTTATTATATAAGCGCTACTTATTACGTTATATAAGCGCTACCTAATATATTATTGTGCTTTATAATGTTTCCAGTAATTAACCGGTTATGTTATCTTTGGTAACATTTTAGGCGTTTACCTAATATGTTATAATAACAAATTAAATAATTAACCTATTTTATTATATAAGCGCTACTTATTACGTTATATAAGCGCTACCTATTACATTATATAATCGTTACCTAATATGTTATTGTGCTTGATAATGTTTCTAGTAATTAACCGGTTATGTTATCATTGATAACATTTTAGGTGTTTACCTAATATGTTGTAATAACAATTTAAGTAATTAATCTATTTTATTATATAAGTGCTACCTATTACATTATATTAGTGTTACCTAATATGTTATTGTATTTAATAATATTTCCGATTAAATGACATAACATAACCGGTCTACATTTTAATAGGTTACTTGTTTAACCATTCACATCATTTTTTAACCGCCGCACAACAGAACTTCCACCCTTTTAAGCTCAAAAAGCATAAAAAAGCTTCAACTCTTCTCTATCATTTTCGAAAATGGTTTTCACTAGAAATGAAATATGTGCTTTATTCGGGTTTGCAACGCTTACTTTTGTGGCAGGGTGGACACAACTAAAATTTAAGGTAGATACATTCTTTACTACTCTAATAATAATGATAAATCCCATCTCATATTCATAAATTTTAGTGTTCAATAATTGTTAATATATATCAATATTTTAGCTATCAATCTTATAAATGTTGAAAATTTATAGTTAATATCAAATATTACAAATATTTAAATTATTTTATGAATATTTATATATATATATTATTTTTATAGTATTTTAGAATAATCTCAACATTTTAGATTTTGTTTTCATATTCGTTATTTTAAGAATATTTTTAGATATATATTATTTTTATATTATTTTAGAATATCTCAATATTTTAGCTTTTGTTTTCATAATCGTTAGATATATGATATGACTTAAGAGTATATCCTGGTGCAATCCCTCTATCTTAGCTTTAGTTTCTTCTCCTGTTTCCCTAGTCGGATGAGGCAACAATGTTGACCCTGTAATATATTCAGAACTGCTGGAGATGCCTCGTACAATACAAGTTAGAAGTTCTGATGTGAGGACCTAAAATAAGGTTAATAAATGGCGTGACTGGTAAAAAAAGGTAATATATTAAAAGCATAGCACAAAATGTTATAAACCAGAACGAAAAAAAAGTTATCAATCGGAGTAACATAACAGACTGGACTAAAATGTTATACAAAGTAAGAAAATGAGTTATAATCACTAAATGTTATGGATACTATTAACATTTTAGATTTCGCCAAGAATATCATGGTTCACTAAGAAATAAGTTACGATCTGTAATATTAATATTTTTTATTAATTATTCAAAAGTATTTATAGATTTTAATCCTTTGATTGATTCAATTATATTATTTTAATTTTTGAAATGTATTTATTAATTAATGTTATGAAATATAGATTCGATTTAGTGATTTGATTATATGTTTATTTAGTATTTGTAAATTTTAATTCTTTGATTTAGTATGCATACTTTTTTTATTTGATTTAATATATATATATATATATTATTTTGATATTATGTTTGATATTTATAAATTTATGGTTGATATATATTAGTTAATTCAAATATAATATTTTGATTATTGGAACGTTGCTCACCATTGTTTGATCCATGTGGTCTCAGAGAATCTTTGTCCACTTACCGTTGTGAAGTTGCTCATTGAAGGAATTTATGTTCGGAGATGTTCTACGTTATCGAAAAATCTCAATACATTTTTTACATTTCCTTTAAATTTACTCTATTTATTTTAGTTTCTTCGGTTAGTTATTCTCTATTTTTTTACAGGTTTGTAGACTATGCAGATATGTAGGTTGTGTTACAAATTTTTTTTACAGATTATAATATTATCAAGTTATTGGAGTTTTCTAGATTAGTCTCACTGAAATATGGGAATAGGTAATGATTTTGTTATTTTCCAGTATTGGGTGCAAAGTGAATTTGAAGGGATTAAGGGTTGGGTTGGCCGGTTATCGGTTACTATTGGGGTTAAGGGTATTCGATCTGAATTGTATATTAAATTTGGGTTGCATATTGAATTTGAGTTTTAACTAGATATATTTTTGGTTTTATTTTGATTCAGACTTAATGAATGAATTTTTAAACCCAAACAAAAAAAATGTTTATAATAGACATTTTTAGTTATCTTTTGAACAGAAATAAATCCAGGGTGGGCACAAAAAAAAATTAGGATAGGCACAAATTAACTTAAGGGTGTGTACATATATAAAAATTGAATACTTAATAAATTAATTTTAAACTCCAGACCCAAAAAGCGTATAGCTCCACCACTGCTACTATGGACCTTTTCAATGCTGCTGCAACGGAGTTTACTGTGGAC